CCTGGCTACGGTGGCGACCATGGTAACGGCGGGGCAGGGGGTGCTAAGAATCTCCGGTGGAGGTTCGGTTGCCACCTACGACGACTTGACCTGGCAACATTTAACGCACGCACCCTGAGGACTGACGAGAAGATCCTGGAGCTGGAAGAAGAGATAGACAAGTTGCGCTGGAATATTATAGGATTATCCGAGGTCCGAAGAGAGGGGAAGGACACGGTGATTCTCGAATCCGGCAACTTGTTCTATCACGGGGAGGGCGACCATCTGTCCCAAGGAGGTGTCGGATTTATCGTCCACAAGTCTCTCGTCAACAACGTTGTAAAGATTGAGAGTGTGTCGACGAGGGTCGCGTACCTGATACTCAGAATCACCAAACGGTATTCGCTGAAGTTCATACAGGTTTACGCACCAACCTCGGCACATCCCGATGAGGAGGTGGAGGAAATGTATGAGGATATTTCCAAAGCCATACATTCCTCCAAAACCCACTACACGGTGTTGATGGGAGACTTCAACGCAAAACTAGGCACTACAAGGAGAAAACGGTGAGCTGAAGTTAGGGAAATTTGGAGTAGGGCAACGGAACCGAAGGGGCCAGCAGCTGGCCGACTTTATGGAGAAAGAGGGACTCTTTATGATGAACTCTTTCTTCCAGAAGCGGCCCCACAGGAATTGGACCTGGTCGAGCCCCGACGGTTCGACAAAAAAGAGATTAACTTCATTATGACGTCCAGACGCCAACTGTTCAGTGATGTCTCAGTGATCGCAAGGGTGAAAACTAGCAGCGATCACCGAATGGTTAGAGGCACACTGAACCTAAACGTTAAGTTGGAGAGGTCTCGTCTAATGAAGTCAACGCTCGGTCCCCCTCGTGCTCTAATCCAGAATCCCGAAAACTTTCAGCTCGAGTTACGTAACCGCTTTCAGTGCCTACAAGATTGCAATGCAGTGGACGATATGAATGACAAGCTCGTGGAAACTGTCCATGCGGTCGGAGCTAAGTTCTGCAAGACCCGCCGGAGAAGAACACAAAAACTCTCCGATCACACTCTTAATCTCATGGCTGTTAGACGGGAGATGAGGCTGCAATCGTCAACAGATTTGACAGCATACAGGCAACTAAACAGACAGATCTCCAAATGTATGCGGCGAGACTTACGCAACTTTAATACTGCTCGTATTAAAGAAGCGATCGAGCGGAACCAGGGCTCCACAGTCTTTGCCAGAGATCTGTCTGCCAGTAAGAGCCAACTGTCAAAGCTGAAGACTGAGTGTGGCAGCATCGTTTCCGGGACACCTGAGATTTTGAGTGAGATTGAGAGGTTCTATGGGCAGATGTACACATCATCGTTGGAATAACACGCAAGTGTGAGTAACGATCCAAGAGCAAGTCTTATCCGACACTATTCCGATGATATCCCGGACGTCAGTCTGAGCGAGATTAGAATGGCTCTCCAGCACCTTAAAAATGGCAAGTCCCCGGGCGAGGATGGAATTACAGCGGAGCTTCTGATAGCGGGTGGAACACCGGTACTTGAAGTCCTTCAGAAGCTCTTCAATTCCGTCCTCCATGGTGGCACTACTCCAGAGGCGTGGAGCAGAAGTGCGGTGGTCTTGTTCTTTAAGAAAGGCGACAACGCTCTCTTGAAGAACTACAGACTGATTTTCGTTAAGAGTCGCGTCTACGTGCTGTTTTCGAGAGTTACATATCGTCTCGTACGCAGACGCGACGACTTCCAGCCTCCCGAATAAGCCAGTTTCCGAAAAGGCTTTAGTACCATATACCACATACATACCCTGCGGCAGATTGTACAGAAGACTTAAGAGTACAATCTGCCACTTTACCTGGCGTATGTGGACTATGAGAAAGCCTTTCATTCCGTCGAAATTTGGGCAGTGCTACAGTCCCTTCAGCGGTGCCAAGTTGACTGTCGGTATATCGAAGTGCTGAAGTGTTTGTACAGTAGGGCTACTATGGCTATCCGAGTACAGAACCAGAGCTCGAAACCTATCCAACTGTAGAGAGGTGTAAGACAGGGTGACGTTATATCCCCGAAACTCTTCACCGCTGCATTGGAAGACGTTTTCAAGCTACTGGACTGGAAAGGATACGGTATTAACATCAATGGCGAGAACATCACTCACCTTCGATTTGCCGACGATATAGTCCTTATGGCAGAATCGCTGGAGGACTTAAGCACTATGCTCAATGACATCAATAGTGCCTCCCAACGGATAGGTCTTAAGATGAACATGGACAAAACAAAGATTATGTTTAATGTCTATGTCACACCTATGCCGGTAGTTGTTGGGAGCACTATGCTCGAAGTTGTTGACGAGTACGTTTACCTGGGACAAATAGTCCGACTAGGTAAGTCCAACTTCGACCGAGAGGTCAATCGACGGATTCAACTCGGCTGGGCAGCGTTCGGGAAATTACAACATATTTTCTCGTCAGGTATACCTCAATCTCTAAAAACTAGATTGTACAACCAGTGCGTGTTGCCAGTGATGACTTACGGATCTGAGACGTGGTCCTTCACTGCTGGCCGTATGAAGACGCTCAAGGTCGCTCAGCGAGCTATGGAGAGGGCTATGCTCGGAGTTTCTCTGCGTGATAGACTCAGAAATGAGAATATCCGCAGTAAAACCAGAGTGACCGACATAGCCCAACGGATTAGTAAGCTGAAGTGGCAATGGGCCGGCCATATAGCTCGAAGAACCGATAACCGATGGGGAAGAAAGGTTCAGCAGTGGACTTGTGAAGGGCTGTAATGATGATGATTCATAAGGTTTGAATTACTTTGCTACTTTGAGTCAGAAATTTCACCCAAATGTTACTTATTACCAAAAAGTTGCTTATTGGCCGAGAATTAGCTGGCAGTGTAAGCTTAAAGATTGGGCGTTAATATTCTGCCTGTAGTGAAATTTCATTTCGTGTATTATTTGTCTTCATCCTATTCCAACGTGAAGGTGTTTTAAAGTACGAGGAGTAAAGGGCTGAGCTATGCGAACAGAACACAAGACCGAAAACTCAAACCCATCCCTATGCCTCACCAACCCGTCTGGCTTATAGTAAGATAGGCGTATGGGCGTACCAGAAGTGGAATATGGCCGTGATTATATTCAACAAAAAATATGTACCTATAAAACAAACACATTTTCTAGAAATCTTGTACGTTTCAAATCTGAAAACTCATACATAATATAGGAAAGGATATTATATTATGACATATGTACAATATCTTTCATACTCGTATTGTCACATTTTATTTAACGTTCATTTTGATTGATATCGATAAATTAGTACGGTACAACAATATTAATGTACCCACAACATTAATGCACACACATGGCCGAACGTCAAGCTCACTCCGTTAGGCGTCGAGGCGTCGCTGGCATTCTCCGCGACAGAGTACAAGGTAAGTAAGGCACAAAGTACGTAACCTTACGTTGCCTACGTTGCGTACGATGCCCTTTCTTTATGTCGAACTACCGACTTTGTTTAAACTTTTTTTTTAATAAAAGTGACAACAATAGTGCCATTGAATAACGCCTAATCCATCAGTACCTCACACACTCCTCCCCGCTCGCGGGCGCCTCGTTAGGCCTCCAACAATGGTCTCACCCGGTGTGGTTGCACACGCCGAGGGGAGTAAGGAGTGTGATTGCTAAAAGGGCAAATAGTGTACTTCCATAGTGTACTCCTAAGTGCTTTCTAATATCGGACAAGGGGAACTACCCCCACCACGCCGAAGACTACCCGATAGGCGCCCGGGCGGGCTCGATAGGCCTCTCATGAAGCGTAACCACTTCGCTCCAGAGAGGTCACGAGTACTGCCCCCACTAAGCCAAATCCCGAGGCGAAAAAGGAGCCCACCGGCCACTGGCGCCGCGCTGGCGCTAGTAGAGCTGAGCCTCCACCCCCCGCCGAACCGGCACCACTACCACGCCGGAACCTGGCCTCGCGGAGATGGACTCCACCTGAAATTGACGCAAACCAACTGCAGGAAGAGAAAAGACTGAGGGCCACTTCGGATTCGATTTCCGAATCGGCATCGCCCTCTACTTCCGCCACCACCTATGCTACCACATCATCTCCCCTGCAAAAACAGCCGGTGGCGTGACACAACTCGCCACCGGACGCTCTGACCTGCAGGGAAACCGAGATGCAGGATTTCGGGAAGCAGGACCCAAAAGGGGAAAAGCCTTCGACAACACATCATACGCCACCCTTGTCCCCATGCAAGATGAAATTCCAATATATGAGCCTACTCCTGGACCATCCTCGACGCCGGACACTTATGCGCGTGTAGCAGCCGCACCGAGATCGGCCCCACGTTCATCAACTCCTACACCTGCTCCAAGTCCATAGCAGCCTGCAGATAAGCAAACAAAGTACCCCACTATAATAGTGGAATGCTTCCCAAATTGAGAGAGACATTTTAAAACCCTACATCAGCTCCTCGGCCATGCCCCAAACGCCCGCCCATTTTAGAAGGGAGTCAGGTTCCGAACGCAATCGGACAACGAATACCGCGCACTGCAAAAATACTTGGTGGAGCGCAGCGAAGAGGACGCCAACTTTGCATGGTATTGCTACGCCCCACATGTGGAACAACCCACAAAGGTGGGGTTTAAAGGGCTCCTTGCCGATACAGACCCAAAGGATATCAAGGAGGCCCTTGTTGAAAAGAGGTTCCCAGTGACCTCTGTGCGCTGAATACCACCTAAAAGAGACAGGCCTGGCTATCTTTTTCATGTCAAGATGGACCACCTACCACCCGATGAGTTGAAACGTTTATATGCAATCAACGAGCTGCTGTACATGCCCGGCAAAGTAGAACCGGCACATCACAATGTCATAGATGTCAGGGGCTCGAGTGATTGTTATCGTCCAATTAAATACGTCCGCTGCGCGGGAGATCACGCCGCATCCAAGTGCCCTAAACTACGTGATTCGCAGCCGAAGTGCGCTAATTGCACCAAGGCACACGCCGCTAACGATATACTGTACCCAGTGTTGCAGCGTATTGCACACAAGAGAGGCATAGCCCTGCAGCCTCCCATGCCCCCGTAGGCAACACGGGTGCCAGTACAGCAACCACCGCCACCACATCTACAACAACCCCAACCGCAGCGGGCTCAGCAGCCACAACAGCAGCTCGAGACGCCACAACAACCTCAGCGGCAGGTACCCCTGCACTGGCGCCAACAATCGCCACAACCGGGGCGATCTTAGCTCCACCGACGAATGATCCTATTGAGCGCACAGAGCGTCCATAAACAAAGCGGAGATGGAGGTAGAAAAAGGAAGGCGGCCACACAGAACGTAGTAGAAGGTACGTCAACCCCGCTTCCTTCTCTTCCTTCTCCCATCTCAACCACACAGAAGCATCACGCATCAACAACCGCATTATGTGACCTTCCCTGTACCCACCCAGAGAATTACTACTACACACCAACCCCGAGAACCACCCCAAAAATTGACCATAAAGGTCACATACCAACTACAGCCCCAGGACCAAATACCATCAACTGTAGAAGAAGCCCTCGCACAATTGGTGGGAGTCGTTATAAAAATCCTGGGTGAAGTACTGACCGCCATGAAACCAACCCCCTTGCGGCGATACTTAGCGCCTTAGCCCATTTAACAGTCAGCAGAGGGCCAGCAAATTAGGATTTGCTATTGGAACCCAGCGGCATCACAGGGAAGGTCGACGACTTGCGCACGTTGGTCCAGCAGCACAAAGTTCAGGTTGTGCTGCTGGGGGGAAACCAAACTGCACCCCTCTGCTAAACTGAAGCTCCCCAACTTCATCGTGTACCGACAGGATAAGATCTCACCAGAAGGTGAGAGAGGTACTGCGGTCTTTGTGAGGAGGGACGTCATAATGAAAGAAGTTGACACAATCCACGACTTCATATCGACGATGACAAAGGGTATAAGGATGAGGGTGGGAACCACGGATACGAGGTTCTTCGCCACCTATCGATCGCCCGATATCTCGTTAGTCCCCCAGGATCTAAGGACTATTTTTAATGCAACAACAGCTGCAATTATCGCCGGAGACCTCAACGCAAAACATCCTGCTTGGGGCTCCGCAATAATCACACCTTACTGGTAGGAAACTCTATGAAGACGCTGAAGAGTGGGGATACGAGGTACTGGATCCAGATGAGCCCACTCACACCCCCTCAAATCCCATCCAGAACAGTTCAAACTCAACACCATAGCAGAGGGATACGCAGAGCATACAGAGAGTGTAGTGGACCAGGTACGGGAATATCTGTCGAACCTGGTGCAGCCATTACGGGGCGACGATTTCATCTCGCCAGCGGAGGTAAAGCGCGCCATCATGCCCCTACCCAACCGCAAAGCGCCAGGATGCGACGGTATCACCACCACGACCTTAAAGCAGCTGCCCAGAAGGGGAATTGTAGAGCTAACCAGGCTCTCTAACGGCGCGTTAAGAACAGGCCACTTCCCTACCACCTGGAAGCAGGGCAAGATCGTCGTGCGACCAAAGCCGGGTAAGGACAGGAGGTACCCACCTAGCTACCGCCCTATAACGCTATTGCCGCACATAGCGAAACTCTTTGAGAAAATCGCCATCAACAGAATGCTGCTGCACGTTGCTTTACGAGAGGAACAATTTGGCTTTCGCAGAGCACACTCAGCCATAGCCCAACCGGCCCTCGTGCTGAACTACTTTGCGGCCAAGTACAACTGTGGCCGCATCTGTGTGGGGATCTTTCTCGATATGGAGAAGGCCTTCGACAGAGTGGGGCACGCAGGACTACTGTACAAACTCATTGAAAATACCACCTTACCCCCTATGTTAGTGCAGCTAATAGCGTCGTTCCTGGAGGGGCGGAGCTTCTATGTTAACATCGAGGAGGCTGTCTCTGTAGCACGAACGATCGAAGCGGGAGTGCCACAGGGCAGTTGCAAACGACATCCTCACACTCCAAGGCCGCCTGGAGGAGTGGGAAGAGGACATCATGCTCGCTCTGTATGCAGACGATAGTGCATACTTCGCGTCATCTCGTCGGGTAGATATCGCAGCAAGAAAGCTGCAGAGACTGCTGGATATGTTACCCGAGTGGCTGGACAAATAGAGGATGGCGGTCAACGTCGAGAAGAGCGTCGCCTTCATGACCAGGCAGACACGCATTCCACCAACCATGTGACTCCATGGGCAGGACGTAGAGTGGAAAATAACCATCACTTACCTATAATAAGAGATATATCGCTCGTTGCGGATGACCTCGATGGTCGACCACGTAGTGGCTCAGGCCGAGTCGCACGAGCGAAACTATACCCTGTACTGGCATCCAAACTCCCTTTAAAGTCTAAAATTACCACCTATAAGACCTATGTCCGCTCACGGCTGACATACGCAGCGTCAGCTTGGTACGCGCTGACATCGGCCATTCAGCGCAAGAGATTGCAATCCCAGCAGAATCTAGCACCCCGGGTGATCGTGAGGGCGGACCCCTACGTCAGAAATGACCTCATAACCAACGACCTCAAAATCGAGTCTATCCATGAATTTGTGGCCCGTACTGCAGGACGGTTGTTCGATCGCGCAGATAACGAGCTATACGTACACCTGCAAAATTTAGCACCCTTACACGCGCTCCCACTTGATGGGCGGCCACTCCCATGTGAACTTCTACGCTCACCGCCCGGCGAGGGAGCCGCCGGGGACGAGTGAGTTTCCCGACACCCGACCTGATGGCCTGCAGTGCGCAACATCCCACACGCAACCTATAAGCTGCTCAGCAGCACCCAAGACCGAAGGAGCCGTGCACCCAGCAATGACGCCCAGGTAGAGAGGGATGCCTCGGTACCTGCTTGCCCTCCTGTCTCCAGAAGGGGTACGAAAAGGAGAAGAACCACTACTTGCAATTCGTTTGAAAAAGAATACGAAATAAAGGAAAGTAAAGTGAAAGTTGTGAAAGTAGTGAAATTTTGGTATCACATTTTCAAAGGGTATTTACAAATATTCGCTGTTTTATTTCTTCCGTGTCCACTCTTAAAGTAGGGAAATAGGAAGATATACAATCCACGAAGTATATGACTGACATTAAAACCGAAAACATTCCTTAGAGGCCCGTAATCTTAGTCTTTAACCCTTTCTTTTAAGAAATAGGGTTGTCGCACGAAGTTTTGTTAGGGTTGACGCCCAGCGTGATGGTGTAGGTGGTCCTGATAGGAGGCCCAAGACCCGTGCCTCATGATTCCGTTGTAGTAGGGACTTCGCGGCCGGTTTAAGTAGCCAACCGAAGGACGAAACGAAAACGTCGTTTCCCCTTTTGGTTATTAGGAGCCCAGTCATGACCAGCATCGGCAGAGGAAGACAGCCATCCCTTTTAATCCGTCTACGTTTGATAAAGTTTTTTTTTTATATAGAAGAGGGGGCAAACGAGCATGCGGCTCACCTGATGTCAAGTGACTACCGCCGCCCATGATAAACCGCAACACCGGGAGAATCGCAGGTGCGTTGCCGGCCCTTTAGAAAGGAGTAAGCTCTTTTCTTGAAGGTCCCCAGGTCGTATCGGTCCGGGAAAATTGCCGGTGGTAAACTATTCCACAGAGAGGTTGTACGCGGAAGAAAACTCCTTTTGAAACGTACAGTGGTGGACCGCCAAGCATCCAAATGGTGTGGACCATCCATCGGGGCGTTTGCCGCGTAGTGCGTTCACGAAATTTGCCGGCTGGGATTAATTCGAACAATTCCTCAGTGTGAAAGTTGGGTGTGGCAGAAGAAGCACGAGAGTAGAATAAACGCAGTAGAAATGCGGTCGTTAAGGAGTATGTTAGGACTGAATCTGAATGACAGGGTAAGAAATTGTGTAATAAGAGAAGAGTGTGGTTTGCAAGATAATGTTGTGACCAGGATTAAGAAAGGAATGCTTCGGTGGTTTGGTCATGTGGAAAGAATGAATGAGAAAAGAGTGACAAAGAAAATTTATGGTGCAGAAGTGAATGGCAGAGTCGGAAAGGGACGTCCTAGGCGAAAATTTATCGATTTATTGAAAACGGGCCAAATTAGGAGTACCCTTAACCGACGAGCATGTATGCGTAGGTGTATGGATGTGAAGGAGGCAAGAGAGGTGTGTCAGGATCGTGCCAAATGGAAGTCTGTAGTCTCTGCCTACCCCTCTGGGTGACAGGCGTGAGTGTTTATGTTATGTATGTATAATTCCTCAGAGCACTCTCCATAGTACATGCGAAAGAAAATGCAAATAGATGCAACATCTCTTCGCAGTGCCAGTGAATCGAGCCGATCGGAAAGCACTCAGTCGTCGACGATTCGGGCCGCTCTGCGCTGGATGCGGTCAAGTGGAGGGAGCTGGTACTGGGGAGCCCCAGCCCAGAGATCACGGCCTTACTTATAATTGTTGTTTATCGCTCACTTAAGTTAGTCATTAACATTATAATATATGTCTTTCTATTGTCCTTTGTTGTATAGAAGATGAGCACAACAACAATTATCTTTTAATTTGATCAAGTGAAATATGAGTAAGACATCATTGCTATTTCATTGGACTGTTTAAAACATTTGTGCTAATCTTCTTTTTATATGTAAACTTGATTAATAATTTTTATAGCAGACCGGCAGATAAAACAAATAGTGATTAATTAACTTTTTATATTTCATAATAGTTTCATTATTTTAATATTTATATTCATAAATATAGTATTTAGTATATATAAAATTTATTATATATAGGCATACATATATATTATACAACATTATTTATTACATATACCCTATATATTTATTTTTTGCTATTATTAATAATAATAGATTGAATGTCATCGGATGAAGACTCATTTTATTCTGCATGTTCTTCTTTTAACGTTACCTCACCCGCAGACGATTCTTTTATCGATAACGTGGGTAATTATTTGCACACGAAATTTGCCTCTACAAATTGTTTAAATGTATGCCATATAAATGCGCAAAGCATCCCTGCCCATTACTCAGATCTACTTGACATATTTTCCTCACCATACATCCATGGTCTACTTATCTCAGAGTCCTGGCTAAAACCCTCCCTATCCTCCACGTTGCACAGTCTTCCTGGATGTGTACTTATACGTTCTGATCGCACTGGCAAGGGTGGAGGTGGCGTAGCCATTTACTTGCGATCGGAATATGCATATGATGTCATTGCAATATCACCATCAGAATATAGAGGATCTGCTGAGTACCTATTTCTAGAAGTAAAAATTAAGGGTTTGAGGGTCGTGCTCGGAGTTGTTTACTGCCCTCCTTCAACTGATTATTTTTCCCATATTGAATCGGTAATCGACTCCATCAGCACTGATAACAAACATATTATAATAATGGGTGATTTCAATACCAACTTGCTAAAGGATTCTCCTCAGAGTCGCAAACTT